ACTCTTTCAAGCATGTATTTAAAACTAATGTTTTCAAGACCTGTAGCTTTTGCACAGATAGGGAAGTCATGGTTCTCAAGCCATTCTCTCATTGGAAACAAGAATATTATTCTAATGGGACCTCCAGGTGCTGGGAAAACAACAGTAGGGAGAATAGTAGGTCAGAAACTAGATTGCCCTGTCATAGATGTAGATGATGATGTCCTTGAAACAACCTGGAATATGAGTGTGTCAGAAAAGCTGCAGGATGTTGGTAATGAGCAATTTTTAGAGGAGGAAGGAAAAGCGCTGTTGAAGATTTCAGCATCTGGAAGTGTAATTTCCCTTACTGGGTCCAATCCAATGCATGCTGCTGGCATGCAGCATGTGAAGAAAAATGGAATAGTTGTGTATCTGGATGTACCCACAGCAGTCATTATGCACAGGCTGAAATTAATGAAAGTAGATCGCATTGTGGGCCACGGTTCTGGTATGTCTCTTAAGGACATACTTCAGTTTAGGAAGCAATTTTACCAAAGGTGGCATGATATCCGTGTTCTTTATGGAGGAGAGATTACAGCAGAGGCTATAGCAGAAAAGGTACTTGATGCAGTGAAGAGATATCAAAACTCAGAATTGGAAACTTTTATTTCAACTAGGTCTAGTGGTTCTGGAAATTGTAAGCAAAAAGACTCTGCTAAATATTTCAGTGATGTTGTCACTGAAGGCTTAGCCCCTGACGGAGGACTTTTTGTTCCTGGGAGCGGACTTCCAAAATTCACTGCTGGAGAATGGCAAAGCCTGATAGAAGCAACCTATGCTGAAAGAGCCCAGGTAATACTGGAAAGGTGCATACATCCTGCTGATATACCTGCTTCTACTCTGGGAGAAATTATTGGCACTGCTTATGGAGAAAACTTTACCTGTTCTAAAATTGCCCCAGTTAGACATCTGACAGGCAATCAGTTTCTCCTGGAGTTATTTCATGGACCTACAGCTTCATTTAAGGATTTTGCTTTACAGATGATGCCACATATATTTGCATACTGTGTTCCCAGAAGCTGCAATTATTTGGTTCTGGTAGCTACTTCTGGTGACACAGGGAGTGCTGTCTTAGATGGCTTCAGTCGTCTTCATGACACTGACAAACAGAGAATTGCTGTGATGAGTTTTTTTCCTGAGGATGGAGTAAGCCAAATTCAAAAATCACAGATGATTGGCTATCAGAAAGAAAATGCCTGGTCAGTAGGTGTCAAATCTGATTTTGACTTTTGCCAGACAGCAATAAAACAAATCTTTACTAATTCTGATTATACTGGCTTTCTTACTGTAGAATATGGAACAGCTTTAGCTGCAGCAAACTCAATAAACTGGGCACGACTGATTCCTCAGGTAGTTTATCATGCCTCTGCATACCTTGATCTTGTTCATCAAGATATTATTGCTTTTGGAAGCCCTGTAGATGTCTGCATTCCTACAGGAAACTTTGGCAACATATTAGCTGCATTGTATGCTAAAATGATGGGAATTCCTATTAGAAAATGTATTTGTGCTTCCAATGAAAACAATGTTTTGACTGACTTCATAAGAACAGGTATTTATGATTTGAGGGGAAGAAGATTAATTCCCACTTTATCACCAGCAGTAGATATTTTGAAGTCCTCCAATCTTGAGCGATATTTGCACCTGATTGCTAATGGCGATGGACAACTGGTGACACAATTATATAATCAACTGGAAAATCAGGGCCACTTCCAGCTACAGAAAGATCTACTTGAAAAGCTGCAACAGGACTTGGTGGCTGGGTGGTGCTCTGAGGAGGACTGTCTAGCTGCCATCCACTCTGTATACAGTACTACAGGGTATATTTTGGATACACACACAGCTGTTGCTAAAGTGGTTGCAGATCGATTACAAGACAGAACTTGCCCAATTATTATTTCATCTACAGCTCATTATTCTAAGTTTGCACCTGCTATCTTGAAGGCTTTGAGGATTGCAGAAATAAAACAGAGTCCGTTAAGTCAGCTTCACTTGCTGAATTCTTACAGCCCTCTGCCTCCAGTCCACTGGGGCCTATTAGAGACACTGAAAAAGAATGAGAATGAGGATCATCAGATCTGTGCTGCTGATACGAGTATGCTGATGTCTCGCATAGAAGCCTTAATTCAAAATCATTTTATGAAAGTTTTCTGAGTAACTATCAGACATCTATTGTGTCAGTTGCAATACTTTGCTGACAAAATGCATGTTTAATAAACTCTATCCAGTTCACAGCTAACTTCCTCAATTTTATAGTCAATTGCCAAATTTTCAGCAGTATATTTAAAGTAATGCATGTAAGAATTCTAGTAGTTGTGAAAGATTCTGAATTAAGAGTACTGAACGCTTGGAATATGTAGGTCATGTATAGCGCAGCCAGCAGCTGTGCAGGCTTTCCTGGGCAACGCCGTTTCCTTCATGAGCCTGAAGCATCCTTCACTGAAGGAGAGAGTAATGTGGTCTGACCTTTCTGAGACTGCTAGCTCTAGTTTTGTGAGAATGATACGATCACTTAGTCAGTGGGTGACTAGTTAAACTTTAACTCACTTCACTTAGGGTATTGAAACATTGTCAGATATTGTCGTGATGTTTGCATGTTACTAATGAGGGTTGAGCCATTCAAGTATAAATGTATTGTTAATTCCTTGAACTATTCAATATACTGTGTTGTCGTCTTGTATGTTGTTTTTAGGTACTGTGAGGCCAACTTTTATATAAAAGTTTGGTTCTTTTGCTGTTTTTTCAGACGGTGCTTCCCCACAGATATTTTCTGCTGTAAAACAGAACCCTTTGTTCAATATTTTTTAGTAATTTTTGAAATACAATTCTTCCTTCAGTGTGCTGTAGTCTTTCCTAGGCCTTTCCTATTTGAACTTTAGAATCTTTTTTTTTAATGCTGTAAAATAATTTGTTAGTAATAGCAGCAATCTCCTTAAATA